GCCCAATCCAATTGTGTGAAAATATTTCATCCAATCATTGCACTACCTGTGGTCGGTCGTCCAATCCCCTGGTCAAAATTTGTCGGTTAGATGTCGGATGCCATCCATGTACATATAAACATATCATGAATATATTAACAAAAAATTGATAAGAAGTAAAAGATTTACTAAATATAATAAAAGCGATTGTGAAAAAGACCAATTAAAGAATAATAGGTACTCCGGAGTAAATACTGTATCCATAATAATTGCTATTATTATTGATTTCTTTTATCCAATTTTATTTGGTATTGATCATAAAATTGCATAAAAAGGTAAAAAATACCATTCAGGAACTGATCGATGCTAATACTCGCTTGTTCGAAACGTATTCTTCTTGCGGGGCACGGAGGCCGCCGCATCGTCGTGGTCTTGCGTATCACGTCGGTACAGCCGCACGCTCCTGTTTGCCTTCGGCGTCTTCGGCCCTCCTTCCGCCTCCATCCACTCGACCAAAGGGTACACGACCATCTTGTCGATTAACCACACGCTCGTGAAAACATGGCCTACACCGATTCAATGCCCTCGGGTCCATGATGGCGACCCACGTCGATCCATGGCGCTGCCCATCGTTCGAGTACCTGTCAGGACATCGTTCGCCAATCGATGGTACGTGGCCCACGTCGTGACGGCGAAATACGTTGACAAAACAACATCCAGCGTGTAGGTTTCGCGCCTTCCCAACGAACTCACCTACGTCGACAGGATCAGAGAGAGAGTATCGTGGCCTGGGCGCACACCATGGCTAGGATGGCAAAGATCCACACGACAGACTTGACGACGTTCACCGGTGCTTCCACGCGGTGGTAGTACGTGTGCCACGTCATTCCACAGAGCACGAGGAGCGTCGAGTGGCCGCAGTAGATCGAGTCGCGGCACCCGTGCAGCGACGTGTTGCGCTGGTGGTCGAACCACTCCACAAACCCTGCCAACACGTGCATGAGGGCGGATGTTGAGAAGGCTTAAGGGTCACGAGATACCTCGTCGGGACACGAGAAAATGCTGCACGACTTCCTTGGCACTGACACTCTTCTCCTCGGCGAGGCATGTCGGGTTGGAGTCGGGGAGGAACGTCATGAGAGCCAACACGGTGCGCGCCATGATGAGGGACGCATAGATGAGAAGTAAGCGACGCATTATGATCATTTTGGACGGGTGGAACGCGATGAACACTGCCGTCGCGGTACACACGAGGACGAGGAGAACCTGCGGCGGGATCGGAATCGGTGGCAAGAAGTCGTGGCCGATGTCGGGAAGCACGGCATTCGAGTGATTCGGTGTGCGAAAGAACACGAGGGACTTGACGAGGGAGCTCAGAAACACCGCGCACGCGAGAAAAAGAATCGAGGCGGCGAGGCGGCGCGAAGTTGGGTAGATTGCCGTGATGGAGAAGCACACCCCCAAAGACAGCATGAAAAACTGAGCCAAGTCCAGCGCGTCCCCCACAGCGACACCCACAGTGGCACCATGGAGCCAGCAGCACACACACAGGAAGCCGGCAAACAGCTTTGTCACCGTGCCTTCCTCCGACGCCATCTCGCAGGGTTGTTCGACACCACAGTCAGGTCATGATTGTTCGGCGGTCATTGGTCGAAATGATTTCAATTTTGGCGAATGCAATGATGCGAGAAAATTCATAGAATAGTAGTAGAATCGATAAAAATCCCCATGTTTGTACGACGTCCAATAAAATATCAAAGTTCCAAGGACAATTCAGTGCAGTTCGCTAAAAATTCTCATGGGTCGAGAAAAGTCAACGTATTCGTCTTCTTGTGCTAAAGTCGACTCAAACTTAATGGTATTTTGTATGAAAAATTGAGGGTGCACCTTCGAAAATACAAGGAAAAAGATTTTCCTCGGAATTCCTGTATAATTTCATGAAAAAGTGTTCGAAACGGGACGTTTCAGCTGATGCCCATCAACCGAATATTAGTGTGAGCATGTCGACGCAGATGGCTGGTGAGGCACCATTTGTGTGACCACCTGCAGCATGGCGAGTCCGTCCCTTGCGACTACTCTTTGCGGCAACGTTCGCTTGGATACGTGCATCTTCAACGCGAGCGGTCCTCGCACCGGATCGTCGGATGCTCTTGCCAAGATCGCAGCCTCGGCGGCAGGCGCTGTCCTTGCCAAAAGCGCGACCGTTCTCGAGCAAACGGGCAACGACTTGCCGCGCACATGGCAAAACGACAAAGTTGCAAGCCTCAACTCAGAGGGTCTGCCGAACAAAGGCATTGGGTACTACTTGTCGGATGAAGTGATCCAGGCGGCGGGGTCCAAGCCGTATATTGTGTCGTTATCAGGGCACAACTTGGCGGACAACTTGGCCATGTTGAAGCAAGCATCGGCCACCAAGGGCGTCCATGTACGTGCCTATTTCGCACACTGCCACGTCATCGCTTCGCTTGCATGCAGGCCATCGAGCTCAACTTGGCGTGCCCGAACGTTATTGGCCATCCCATCATTGCGTACGACTTTGACCAGCTCTCGACGGTCCTCACAGCAGTGCAAGCGACTATGGCGTCGTCTTCCACGTCGCTCGATACGCCACTTTTCCACCACCGAAAGAAAACTCGACGTCGATTGTCGTGGCGCGGGTAGGCGTGAAGTTGCCTCCGTATTTTGACGGCCCGCAATTTGAGAAAGCCGCCAGCATCATCAACCAGTTCAAGTGCGTTCAATTCGTTGCGTCGATCAACACCGTGGGGAATGCGCTCGTCGTCGATGCCATCGCTGAAATGCCAGCGATTCGCCCGAAGAACGGGTTTGGAGGGCTGAGTGGGCCTGCCGTCAAGTACTCGGCTCTCGCGAACGTGAAGAAGCTGCGGGAGCTGCTTCGTCCTGACATTGCTGTCATTGGGGTGCGCGCATCATTGCGTCGCGCGTTTTCAACGGGTGTTGCGTGTTGGGTTAGGTTGGCGGCGTGGAAAGCGGCGAAGATTCATTCAACATGATAATGTGTGGAGCGCAGGCTGTCCAAGTTGGCACGTGCCACTGGATCGAGGGCCCCAAGTGCTTTGACCGCATTGCCAGTGAACTCAAGGACCTCATGACTCAAAAGGGATACAACGCAGTGGACGAATTCCGCGGCAAGCTCCAACCGTGGAGCAAGGAAGGTGCCGCCAAGAGCCGCGATGCCCGCAAAGCCGGTGGCGCTAACAAGTCGAATGCGGTGGCAACCGTTGTGGAGTCCAAGGCGGATTCGGCATCCCTCTATGCAGTCATCATCGTCCTGCTTGCCGTGATCGCAGCCCTTCTCGTGGAAAAGTTCAACTTGACGAAGCCTTAAGCTGACAAATGCAACGCCATGAAGTTGTACGAAGATCCTCCATTTAACTCAGTAAATGTCGCAATCGATGTCGGCACAGACGTCGTGGCCGACTCGAATCGCACAAGAAAGTGCCGACAACGGGTCCTACAGCTCCCATTCTCCACACCCCACGTCCCTGCCACCAGATTTTTGTGTTGGAAACGTGGGAGAAGATTTTGGCTCTGTAAAGCTAGTTCTGGCACCACCCGTTCTTACCAAAGAACACGCTGTCCAGCATAAGAAAAGTGTTTTGGTGTTTGGGATGATGGTGGCACAAGGACCTCATCAAAAAGCGGTGGCAGTCGCACCACCACCTGCGACAACGTTGGCACAGCGCCTCGCAGTCCGACAAGTTTCGCGCCGTGAAATTCACAAGTGCCAGTTTGGACGCCGATGGCGTTTTCCAGCTACAATCTCGGCGAGTACGATGCAAATTGTGCCACTTGTGTGCGGTGGCCCTTCAAATGACCTTTGTCCAGCGCGTCGCAACTCGAGTACGCAACCCTCTTCGCTCATACGAACGCTCGGCAACGAGCAACACCAGCCAGAGTTTTTCAGGGACTGAAAACGCGTGTAGAAGCCTCAAGATGTGCAAAATTCCGAGCACAATCCCTTGGCATCCGCCGTTGGGACCGGACATGCCACGAAATGACCAAACTCGCAACTGTTTTTTGTCAGATCGAAAGCACGGGATCACACCGGAACGGTCACTTGCAACTGCTTTGGCGAATCTCCTTCGCCGCCAACAAGACGTCCGAGCCAGGTTTGCACGTCGGAGTAGGTCAAGTCGGCCGACTTGGTCAGCGTCGCGTACTTGGACTGGTTGCTCACGGCCACAATCACACCTACAACGACAGTGTCGACGTCAGTCGACGCGCTTTCGTTGAAACAACGTACATGACTCTGCATCGATCAAGTGCGTGTCGAAAAACGATGTCCATGCAGCCTTGCGGTGTGGATGATCGACGTCGCACCAGGTAAACACGACTGGGTCGTTCTTGAATTCGACTGCGACCGCCTCTGCGTGGATCCATTGAGCTATGCATGATCCGATCGTGAAACGAATGCCACATGCGGTGCGTGCAACGTACCTTGCGGCGAACAGTACGTTGGCGAGGCTCGCATGCAAAAGATAACGACCCGCCGCCGTTTGATTTGCAGTACGGCGGGCGTGAGCTCTGGGACATGTGGAGCGTACGTGGCTGCCAGCGGTGCTAACGAGGACGTGCTCATGGGTTTTGGCGGCGTTGGAGACGCCTTGGATTGGCGCGACGACGGCGATGGGGGCTGAGTGCTGTCGGGTGTGGAGTCCCTGACTTCCATGACCTTTGTGTACAGGAGCATGGCGACGATGCCGAACACGAAGAAGTACAAAATCGGAGTTGACCCAGACGACTGCGGCCGTTGCTGCGACGAAAACGTGTAGTGGTAGTACTGATGCTGCTGGTGGTGGTGATGGTACTGGTTCGAGTACTCGTGCTGGTACGAACGATACTGACTTTGTGACGTCGACGACGCGCGTTTGTTTGTCAATGTTTCGTATGCTTCCTGCACACGGACAAAGTTCTCCTTTGCCGCTTCTTGGCTGTCGTGCGGGTGCTTGTCCGGGTGATACTTGATCGCGAGTTTCTTGTATGCCCGCTTGATCTGATCCTCTGACGCTCCGCGAGACACCCCCAACACCGCGTACGGGTCGGCAGACTGATGATATCCTTCAACAAAGCAGCCTGTGCCAAGAGCCACGACTCCCACGAGCGCTATCCCGACCCAAACTTGGCGCCACCGCATGCGACACCACGAAGTCGACGTTTTGGTCGAGACCGCCAACGCCTGTTCACGCGCCATCCGGACGAAATCCCACTAGTAGTACTAGACACTTCTAAATAGTAACTTGAAGGTGGTTTTGTGCTGGGTGATCATCCCCCATTGTGAGCAAGCCTGGCGGCGCCTGAGCTAGGAACAGCCTCCAATGGGCAGTACAACACAAAACGAAACATGGATGCACTGGGCATTAGCGTCGTCGACACAGGAGCACTACAACAAACATTGAAACCATTTGAGGGGCTTGCGGTTGTCGCCCCACCACCCATCGCCCGTGCGGAACGTGAGGTCGGCATGGTTCAAAGGACCGACGTAGTGTTTACTCGATGTCCCGCCAAAATCGTCCTTGTTGAGGCCCACCGTGCAGCTGTTGTAGTCGACGAGGCCGTCGCTGTCACTGGAGTGGTTAGCCCATTCATCCACGATGGCGAGTGGCACCGAGTAGTTTGAATGGAGCCCCCAGCCGCTGACTCCACACGCAACGTGAGTCGCAAATTGCTGTCTCGCGCGCTGCGCGGCAGCGAACTCGGCTTGCTTGTCGGCGTTCACTGTAGACTCGTGCTGAACGGAATAATAGGCACGAGCCGGGGGGCAGTACCCGATCCACGTGAGCGGCGCAAGCATCCAGCTGGTCCAACCCCCGCCTGCGCATTTCTGTTGCAAGAGATTCGCGGCCTGGCTACCCTGTTGGGGAGACGCCAGGGACACCCACGTCACGCTCGTGGAGAACGAACACACTTTGGATGCAAGTGCCCCCGACGCAAGCATGTTGCCCATGGAATGGGTCACCAAGATGAGGCTTCCAATTGCGTTTGGCAGTGCGGTCTTGCTAGCAGCTGCAGCGGCATTGCAGAACTGCTTCTGGAGAGAAAGGTCGTTCCAGCCTTGGGTGGTCGTGTCAAAGTGGACAAAGGTTGTGCTCAAACAGCATGGGGACGACACGTCACCCCAGTACGAGGGGAACGAGACCGTCGCAGGTCCCGCGTTGGATTCGCCGAGGCCATGGACAAACAAACACGGTTTCTTCGGGCCTTTGCATTCACAGGACGGTTTGCTCATCGTCACAACCCGGTCGTCTCCAAAGACAAGTTCCATCGCTCGAAGCAAGGGCGAGCGGGGGGTGTTTGCCGCGTCGTCGGTCGGCATCGCGAGCGACGTCGGTGCGCAATCCAGCGCGGCTGCATTTGGCGGGGTTGGAACTTGAATATCTGGAAGCTGCGACGGGTCCGAGAGGTATTCGATCGAAATATTCAAGTCTTGGCCGACCGCATGCTGGAGGTGGTTGCCTGCAGAGTTGCAAAACACAAACGCTTCCCCCGCAAACGTCAGCGACAGTAGAGTCCCCCCGGTGCATTTTTCACTCATGTCAGCAGTTCCCGCCACGGCATCTACGATCCGGGACTGTTCCAAGCTCGATTCCATCTATACAGACCATGTGGACAATGACGTCGAGGATATCGTTGCAACCTGGGAGATCGACGGCAGCTGCGACGGATCGATGCAATGCACGGCGGTGGTGGTCCCGTTGACGACCTGGGAATAGTACCCCTTGGTGTCGACCAACGTATACACGTCCGATTGGGTTGGCGACGCCTCGATCGTCATGATCGCGTCAAAAAGAAAGCGGGTCACACCAACTCGGGCTCGAAGAGGTTGCCGGGGTGCGACAAAAATCGTGGCATGATCATGGCCGTACGGTTGCAAACTAGCTCGCTTGAAATGCAGCGTGACCTTGAGACCAGGGGTCGATTGGAGGTTGTTGACAATATCTTTGTGGCCGTTGTTCGCCGGTTGCAAGAGCACCACGGCGAGTACCCCAACGGCGACACAGACAAGCCCACATACTGCCACGATCGCGGCAACCCAACGAAGTTTGGCATGGCGCTGGCCTATGTGGAGAACGGGATGAAAATGGTTTGGAATCGTTGAGTACACACCGGCGAGGGACGCGCTTCGATCTGTTGCCGACTCGAGCGGGGCATACGGGTTGGGCGAAGCAATGGCACCACCCGTACGCGCGAACGTCATGGGGGAAACGAGATGAATTCACTTGTGGCGTCCCCAGTCCCTTCCAACACTCGAACGCGCGGTTCCAACGCACAGCATGTTTCGGTAAACAAACGTCCCCCGTTTCCGTCGAAGATCGCCGGGGCCACCGTTGTATTGCCAGTACCAGAAAACCACGTGGAAGTCAAACGGTGGATGGGTGGTGCCAGGAGGGTGCAGCTCGCTGTTCTCGGCGACCACGCAAGATCAGAAAATGCACGCAGCCAAGAACCTGCGACCGGGCGTACACTTCACAGTCGATGCAGGGCGACGTAGGTCGTCTACCACGACAACAAATCCCCGTCATATTCGACGAAGCATCGCTGGCAGGGTTCAACTACCCCCTCCATCGAATCCCCCCCCCCGACGATTCCATCGATAGTGTTCAAGCAATGCATGTCAAACACAATTTGTTGACGTTGGCATCGACGCCTGGCACGGTCACGAGGAAATGCCTCGTTAGTACTCTGCGTCGTGGCTTTCGCACGTGAACCCAGGCGTTCCCCCATCTATTGGCCCACGTGTGCTGTCACCGTGCTGGCGCTGCTGCCGTGGACACCTGATCTGAAGAAAGTGCGGCAACAACGTAGCAATTGCTCGAGTTTTTTGGATGACGTTCAACCAAACCCACCAAGTACATGCGCGCACTTGTTCGAGAAATCTCGTCGTGGGCTTGGATGGACCATCTTGAGAAATCCTCGTTAGCTTTTGCACAAGACTCGTTCGATATGGGACGGCCCATGTGATGTCCGCAGCAGTTGCACCGAGACGGAAGGGCTGGAGACGCGACTGTGCGGCACCAGTGTGACGGTCGCGCGGGGTCGGATGCAAGGTGAGCCAGCCCAAGCTCAACCTAGATCCATGCATCCACCAAAGATCAGAAAATCCATACAAGATAGATAAATACGTGTGACAGCAATTCGTAGTAATCGTGGCAGGTGTTCGCCCAACGAGGCTACCATGTGCACGTGGGGTCCCTCTAGTATGTAGTAGTTACGACAACGCCGCCACTCCCCATTTGCCATAGAAGATTCGCAAACAACCTACGGGCGTGTGCTCGACGACATGACTCCCTTCGATACATCGGAGAGAGAGAACATACAACGGCCACGAGTTGAGCGCTCTTGTGTCGGCATCTCGAGGAAGCACATGGGGGGGCCGAATATTCAGGCTGGGTGGTCGGTGGACAGGTTGAATGGTCACGACGCTCCAGCACGTCGATTGCAACAGCCTTGTCGACGCGTGTGTGCTGCCCTGGCCAACGGTGACAACAGCTCCAAAGTTGTCTTGAATGGCTGCTTTCACAAGCTGGAAGAAGCTGCAAAATCCGACAGAGCAGCGACCGACACACAACAACGAGCAAAGGGGGAAGTAACGTAGAACTAGTTTTATCCTAGGGAATGCAAGAAATTGGTGGTAGCGGAAGCTGAACTCGATGGTTGCGGGAAAGCGGCGAAGTACTACTGCTGCACAAGGGCAATGTTCCAAGCGAAAAAGGCCGAATCCAAAAGGACCCAGAATCCACATAAGCGGGAGGACGTCAATCCGTCGGCCGAAACCCACCGCCGCTTTGCAACGGCTAGGGATTGTAGCTGCAGCAGAGCGATCACAACGACGAAGAGACCAATGGGGGCAGCGGTAACGCCAGCATGAAACAACTGCAGGCGGCGGTTGGTTCGAACCAACCGCCGACTGCAGCTACTCGGCAAAAGAGAGCCACTAGCCACATATGCCCACAGCTCACCGACGATCCCCGCTCCCAGGTGTACTGACAAGTTGAGCTATGGGCGAGACAACGATCAAGTCCATGCGAGCCGGATGCAGAACTGCTTCACAAGTCATCCATGCGCCGTGGACGAAAACGGGAAGCAGCACCCCATGGGAGATGACCCGTTGCAAATCAGGTAGAAAATTCCGACGCATGTGTCACCCAACCGCCTGATGTCTCCACGAAAAGTTACTCCGGAGTAGCACACAGCCAAATCACCGTGCAACGGAGTGAAAATACGACTACGCAAAACAACCAAGCCAGGATCATCGCGATGCCAGCGCACAAGTGCATGCCACAGGTCTACAACGACGCTCAGGAGATGATGCCATGCATGGGCTTGATCGCTGCCATTGACTTTGGCGAGGTGTTGGGTGTCGGCGACGACAGGCGCCACCAACGTCGCGACGTCCCCCATCACGACTGGGAAGATCCAATTTTGCTTGTGTTGAAGATCAGGAAGTTAACGGCCAACACGGATTGGCATCTTGAGTTGATTCCGATCACACATTGTTGTCCCGAGGCTTACGGCGGTAAACATAACGAGGGGTGTGGACGAGGGGCGTGGTCGCCGGTGCCAGACTCGCCACCCGCTCAAGCATGCCATCGACAAACGACTTGGAACCATCGTGCGAGTGTGCGCAAATCGAACTACTGGGGTGGCCCCGACTCCAGCAGCGGGCATGATGATGAAGCAAGGGAGGCACGAAAGGAGGAACACCACGAGATCACCGACGAGACTGCTCGAACAGTCCCATCGCCGAGATTACTTGCATGGCAGCTGGGCTCGGCGCGTTGCTTTGAACGATACCGTCCTTTGGACTGAGGGACAACTTGCCAGCAGAAACGCATCTCGTGAACGTCACAATGGCGACGCTGCTGTGTGAGCACTTGAATGCTAAGAGCGGTTGGTGCATCGTACGCGTGCACAGAGCTGCCACATCCAGCCTCATCTCAGCTCATTTCGACTCGTCGTCACGAACATTTCGTGGCTGGCATCGGGACTGGATGGGAAGGCGCCAACAATCCACTTCATTACAACTACAGTCACGTCCACCTTCTCGATCACCTCGTACGCCTACGCCTTCTTGACCGGACACTCCGTCTGCCCGCGCGGGATGCCGGGCCCGCCGGCAATGCGCCAGCAGTATGTTGTGGGGAAAAGACTCATGGCATTTGTGACAAACTGGTAGATCAGCATGACCGTGAAGATGACAATTGTGAGGATGCCAGCGGTCCAGTCTCTGCGGCCGCGGCGCTTGAGCAGTTGCAAATGGGCCTTTTGCTTGGGCAGCAACACCAAAAACCCCAGCGATCCAATCTTGACGGCGAACGCAATGATGAAGCAGTACGTGACTTCCCATCGCGCAAACGACGTGTCCTTCTTCATCGTTGCGGACGTCGTGTCGAATGCGGCATTGATCGACTTGTACAACACCGCCGATACCGGCCACGCAACGTTAGCGATCGTGGTGATGAGCCCGTGGACAGCGCCTTCGTTGCCCATGTCAGCCAGCTCCACCGTGCTGTAGGCCGCCACGATAAACTGCACCGCCTTGGGGATGTGGTTGACCAGGTACACGGTCAAGTACACGTGCTCGGACCGGGCGAAACTCGCGCCCCAAATCGCTGGAAACATGACCGAAGCATCCAAAACGACGGCCACGACGGTCGCGATGATGATCGCTGTGTGCCAGTTCCACCCGAGGCCGTACCGACCGCAGAAAAAGTAGGTCAGCATGTTGAGTGTGACGCCGCCAATGGTGTACACGGCCTGGAACAACGGCGTGACGTTGACCCATTCCCGGGCGACGATCGGGCGCGGCGTCGCGTCGAACTGAAGCGCCATGAAGTTGAGCGCTCGGAACGCGCAGATTTGCCACATGACGCGGAGCTGGAGCAGATCCCACAGTCCATGCATGTACTGGCGGAAAGGGACGGCAGGCGATGGTTTCTCGACGAGCAAAAATACACTCGCGGCAATGGCGAGCGCACTCGTGGCAGTCAAGATCCAGTAGATTGTGTTTGGCGCAATCGAAAAGTCAAACGTGCCGCCGTACTGAAAATCACTGAGCCCTACACCAATGATCACGTTTGGAATGATGCGGAACAGCTCGCGAATGACGTAAATCATCGTCTGGATGCGGCCACGCATGTGCAGGGGCTCGCGCTGGGCGTGCTCGACCATGACGGCGTCGGCGGCGACAATTGCCATGACAAACCCCATCGTGGCGCCCATCGACCACAGCACGAACTGGTGCCCTTCGACGGCCGAGTTGAGATTCACGTACAATTTCTTGTCTTCGTCCGTCAAGTTTGTCAAGACCTTTCCCTTGAGCGCGTTGGCATAACGTGGTGCAGGGAATGGCGTCAGCGCCATCACGGCACAGCACACAAAGCACAAGGCCCACCCGATGATCACGTACGACTTGCGCTTGTACCCGTAGATGGGAAAGCAGTCGGACGCAATGCCGGCAAACACCTTGAGACTCCACGCCAAGTTGATGAGCGGCACGTACGACGCGATCTGGTACCCTTCCATGCGCAGGTATGTCGTGAAGATCGGGTACGCGAGGGACGGCAGCATGCCGGACAGGATCCCGACGGCCGCGTACTGGCACAGCAGCCCCGTCGACTCTTTACTGAAGAGCGAGTACGCCCCACCGGGTTGGAGCGCCCCATCGCTGTCGTCGAGCTTGTCGTACACGTCGCACTCGCAGCTGCCTCGGGCCGACGTGCTCTCGAGGACGCAAGGAGACTCAAGGGCCTGCGCTTGGAACGCCGAGTGTGGTTGGTGAACCTTGGAGCTCATTGGAAAATGCGCGTCGATGGTGTTGGTATCTGAGGGTGCATTGGATGTGTGTGTGTATGCGTGTAGAGGGTTGGGGTCGGCGTCGCAGCCCTCATCGCTGAGAAACGAGAGCAGGCTGTCGCATGTCTCACTGTCCTGGGAAAGGTTGCAATCGTCGCCGAACCATGAGGTCCACGGCTTCCCAAACACGTGGCAAATGGGATGCTGTCCCGTCGAGCTTGTCCCAAGTTCGTGAGGGCAATGCGCATTGCCATCTGTGGACCAAGGTGTGTAGGCTCGAGAGTTTTGGAGGAATGCGAACACGGGAGGTGCGCTTGCCAGTCTCGTGCGAGCAAAGATTGACGACTCCCCATAGCACGCCTTCCCAGCGCGTATAACACGCATGCGAGTCGCACAGCATGCACACGAACCCCCACAGGCAAATCAGTGAAGGTGTGGCTTTAGTTTGCATGTGTGTTGGGCGTCTTGACGAAGTAGCCCGACTGGTGGTGATATTACTACCCAAGGCAGGGGACCAGCGCCCCAGCAAAGTGTCGTAATTCGTTCCACAGCATGGGATTTTGTCGGTCCGAGCCTCGACGGTTGACGTCCCTGGTGGTCGTCGAGTCTCCACTCCATCCTCGTACCTGCATGGCTTCTCGGTGATTTGTTGCGTGGCTCGCTAGTTCAGTACGCAGACCTCTGGATTCGACACAAACACACCCAAGGGGCTAGCATTGTGAGGACTTAGTAGTTCATCGAGATAATTCAGTTGGGCATCCTTGGAAGCGGGCAAACTTCCCCCTCCCACCACCTCAATTGCGGGGCATCCTCTACCGGGCAGCGTTTGGCATGCGGCAGCAAGGAACACGTACTTAAAATAGACTTGGTGTCGGTGAAAGTGCGATTCATTGCCACACAAGGCGCACTAGCCACACTTCCCGACGAAAGGACACGATTGGACGTGTACACACTCGCACGATTCGGACTCGCTCGTCGCCAACGCACCGCCTCGAAGAAATCGCGCACACTGGAACGAAGCGGTGGTCGTCGCTCGTCGGTCGAAACCACGTTATGCCAGTGCATTCGAACAACGTACCACGTGAACCCCAACGTGAACATGAAGCACAATCCTCCCTTACAATTTTCAAGTTAAATTATCTTAAGTACGAAACCGGGGCATTTCGCACGACCGACCCGACGACACTTTTCGTCCAAGTGGTGTTTGTGTCAGAGCTCGCGAAATGTTGCCTTGCGGTGGGCATGCCGCTCGTATCGAAGATGTCGTATACAAACCCCTTTGCATGATGCATCGGGCGTGTCGGTCGTGAGGTAGGCGAGACGTCGCCAAGGTGCCGATCGCAGTCCTGGTCTTTACGGGGATCGTCGACGTTTTTCGCAGATCGTGGCCATGGTGCCCCCTCTCTACTCCATCAATTAAGTGTTGGTTCATGTCGCCATTCGCTGTGCAACATGCATCACATATCGAGAAGTCAATTTTGTCCACGCGTGAATTCGAACGAACAATGTCGTCGATGTTGCCGTTCGTTTACGACTAGTTTGTCGCGCAATAGTTCGATTGCGCAATGTTGAGTGCAAAGAGACCATAGCCCAAGAGGCCACCTGTCAAGATGCCAACGGGGGCAGGCACGTTGAAGAGGCCAACCAAGGCTCCGGTCGCCAAGCACACGGCAGCTTCGCCGTGGCTATGGATAGCATGTTGCCACAACAGGCCAATTGCAGCGACAACGAGACCGATGGCGGCCGAGTTGACACCCGCCATGAACACTTGGAGGTGGTGGTTTGTGCGCGCCAGTTCCCAGAGTGGCAAAACCGCGAAGAAGAGACCAATGCCAGGGCCAAAGAGGCCAAATGCCGCCAGGAACGCGCCAGGCACACCCAACGCAACCGCACCCAAGTACGCAGACATGTTGAAAAGAGGGCCGGGAAGCGACTGGATCAGGGCGAACCCAATGAAGAACTGGTCTTTGGTCACCCACCCCGCGTTGACGATGTCGTTAAGAAGCATGGGCAGCATGACTTGGCCTCCGCCGAAAATGATCGACCCGATGCGAAAGAACGCGTAGAAGAGACCCATGTAGCTGCGGCCAAGCTGGTTCTAGTCATGGTGATCCGTGAGTCGAACAGGTCCAACGGGAAAGGCATCGCTTACGATCGAATCGAAGTACGATAACGTGGCGAACGCTGTAGCCCACACAAGGATGATCAAGGCACCGGCCCATGGAGGAATACCAAAGTCACTGCATGCAGCCATGAGATGACAAAAAAACGACGAGGGAACGGTACCGTGGAGCGAGTGGGTTCACAACGCCGTCGCGGGACGACTTGACGAAGCTCTTGGTGTAGCCAAACACGGGTGCCAACAACGTGGTCACTCCACCGGCCACCATGAGGGCGGGGAAGATCCACGTGCCCAAGTTTTGGGTGGCCAACACAACACAGGCAGAGATGGCGGCAATCGCCATCTTCACTTGGTCGTTGCCGCATGCCTTGTTCCACAGCTTGACGGCGGCGATGATCACGAGGGACGTGGCAGCAGGTGCCAAGCCAGCCATCCATGAGGGCAGCCCAGCTGTAGGTGAAGGTTGGCTTCAACAAAGTGAAATCGACCATCGTACCGCCAAGGTAGTGCTGAGCACCGAGACCAGCCACCGTCATGACGGAAAACGCAGGGAGCGCCCACACGAGAAATGCCAAGATGCCACCGAGGAGACCAGCTCGGAAGAGCCCAACCGACGACACGACTTGAGTCGAAGTCGGACCAGGCAACGCCGACCCCAACGCAAGAACTTCAAGGTAGCGTTCGTCGTCGAGCCATTGCAAGCGTTCTAGTATCGCCGTGATCGACAGGTAAGAGTATAACGACAAGACAATACGCACCGACAAAACGTTCGTGAGCAAGACCAAGGTGGGCTTGGGGACCACCGAACGACACGAGGGCCACGGGGAGCACCTCAGTGATCACGGAGCACAAGCGCTTCAAGTAGGGCTCCGTGTGTTGAAGGATCTCGGGCTTGGTGGGCTTGTTGATAAGCACGGTCGTTTCCTCGGCTTTCGTCATGGCGGTGGCGAAACAAGATTGGTGTCGCCGTGGCGCTCACGGCGGCACCCCACGCACGGCGGACTAACGAGAGTTCACCATATGGGGAAATAGAATCTTCCCGGTGAAGTACGATTTCGCACTTTGACGGAACAACCCCCAGGCATGAGAAACTGACAGTTCAAGTTTGTGCACAGACGGAAAATAGTTGGAATATTCAAATTTTACATTTACATGTTAATGATTCAACGGATTTCATAAAGCTGGCTCGCTTTTGGTGGAGGGAGAGGAGTTGTGGTCGTCGAATGCGTGCCGAACCCAGCTGTCTTGGGCCACGATGCTTCACGGATGACAACCGAACTCAACCGCCTTTGGCCGGGCTGCTTCGCCGATGCTTGCATGAACTTGCGATGTACCGGAAGGGTATTCCTGGTTGTGTGAGCGAAAGCATCTGATGAAACACCACGAGAAGGAGGAAGTGATGGGACGTAGAGAAGGACGTAGAGAATGACATTCTAGGGATCGATCTGTAGCAACAACTATTTGCCGTCGAGGGTTGACTGTACTGGTGGGTGTCGGCATCGTTAGCATCCGTGGCTGCGTATGCACCTTTCTGTCGCGCACATCGCATCAGTCTCAAACAAGTCGTCGTTCAAGTGTGAAAAAATATGGTGCTGAACAAACAGCACCTGGTGCCAAGACCAAGGTGATTGTTTGATGACGCTCATTTATCAATGGTTCTAACGCACGGCATTGTTCCTTGAGCTGCGCGAAGACGCACTTAACGCCATTCTCGTACATGGCAGTCTGTAGTTGAATGCTACAGCCTCGAGAAGCCAAGGAAATAAAGGTTAACCAACCTCTCGAACGATATTACAAAAGGAAATTCGGGATCTATATGTGTGTTCAATATTTTTCAACAATATATTGTCGAAAAATGATCGACGTCGAATGTCGATAATTTTTCCGTCGACAGCGCCACAAACACGAGCATATCGAGTCGCGGCCAATAGCTTCGCAAGATGACGCGCCAACATACTGACGACTGCATTTTGATCAATCGAATGTACAGCAATCATGGAGGCTTCTCAGCATGCTAACGTAATAAATACACTAGCGCTTCAAGACATCCCCATCCGACGTTGTTTCACTCCACCGTCACTGCCCACGAAATGCACGAACATGGCCACTCGTTTCGCAAGCGAGTGTCAGTAATGGCAGAGTGACTTAGCGGGCAAGCAGTGAAGTCGGGTGACAAGGGTGGCATAGGTTAGTTGGCTGCAGCGGAGATTGTTTAGAAGCCACTGGTTGCTGCGCGATATGATGTCGACGTTTGCAATGGTCAACAGATTGTACTTGAGTACTTGACGGGAATGTGATACATCCATCGTTACCGCCAGCGAGGTGACGCGGATGCTGCGACCGCAATAACCGCGTTGGAGAGGGGCGGCCAAAGATTGAAACACTCACAGTCAGGTGCAAACCCACCAGTCTCGCCAACCCCAATGTCAGACCACTTGATCCGGATGTCCGCATATTCAACCAATCACAGAACCACGGCTGGACGTCTGGTAGCGATGTCAGGAAAGCCAACCGTCCTTTGCACGACATTACCGTCCTGATTTTTCAACGTACTCTGTGCACGATTGCCGCGTGTAGCCTGCGTTGGATTTCCGAGCTCATGTTGGGCATGTTTTCATGCCAAAGGCAAAGAAGTTGACGCTGACGGACTACCCCAAACTGGTTGGTTGAAAAGGTTAAACCAAGTGGAACCTGCTAAAGTTGTCGACATCAGCAATTGCACGTCCAACAGCAAACTCCAGCCAATGCCGGCGGTTGACAGAGGAGAAAATAGTGAACAGAAATAGTGCGCCAGCATGCCTCATCAAGATGCTCTGCGCGCGGCCAGGATGTTACTTCCAGCTCCACAATCCACGATAATCCTTTCGCAGGTGGCACGTACTAATAGTACAAAGTGTACTACCACTGGAGGGATTTGGGTGCCAAGCCCATGTGCAACAGGAGTTCCTTAAATGAATTAAAATACAATATAGTGGGAGATATATTGTCTCCGTAAATCCCAAAAAATACTTTTCAAGACAATGGACAGCCCTGCGACATTTCCATTCCAATCGCCAGTCTCTTGCCGGCTTCGATGCGCGGCCCCAAGCTCCCGCTGCCGCTCGACGTCACGCCGCCGTCTGCCGATGCGATCGCACAATGGAAGCGCCTTGCCTTCGAGACAAAAGACCAGTTGGTGGGAGTCCTTGCCAAAACCGAGCGCATTTATCTCACTCTGACTGGACGATAGGTCAACCTCTCCAGACTCAAGGGAGGTCAGGTGCAATGGAAGAAGCAATCAGAAAAACAACGCGTGCGCGTCTATCGCGGCGTCGACGCACAAGCACCTTTAAACTCACACACGTGGTGCGCCGTCACCGAGATCCAAGCTACAATCGACGAAGTGGACCATGCCCTTCGCAGTGATGCAACCCGAACAGGCAAAGTTGTCGAAACTGCCGAGCTCTTTGACCGAAACGTGCTCGATGCCGCCACCGTATACACCCTCGACATTACTCCAGCGTCGTCGTTGGGAATCCAGTGGCTCCTGACCCGACCGATGGGACCGCTCTCGACTCCGCGGGACTGGTGTTTGCTGACGGTATCCCAAACCGAATCTCCCCATGTGCTTTTTGCGCTCATTCAAGTTGCCTAGTACACCGTTGCAACGACTGTGCAAGGACGTCGAGGATGGGTTCGCGCGTACACTTCCGTGGACGCGAACGGGTGCCGGCGGTCATCGAGCAATTGTGACGATCCATCCAGCCGAGAATTTCTGCGGGGCCACCACTTCTGCAGCGGCTACGTCGTCATGGAGTCTACGACAAAGCCAGGGTTCCTTCACGTTCGTCTGACGATTCAATGCACATTTCATGGCAAAGATGCTGCCTCAATCAAGGCGCTCCATGCCAAGTGCCAGCACTTGAGTGCGTTGGACGTCAAGCTGCGGTCGATGCGGCTAAGTCGCGCCGCGGTTCGCGGAATGAAGAACGCGCCAACCCATGCGTCGAGTCCCCGCGAGTGCTGCCGCTGTAAAAAGGCGTTCGGTTTGTTTACGTTGAAAGCGCAGTGCCACGCATGCAATCAGGTACGGCCTCAATTAGTCCGTGGTCATCGCCGGTCACCGGACCTTGACAGACGTACTGCCGTCCGTGCTGTCCGCAGTGGCCGATCGTGATGGCCAACGGCGCAGTGGCGAACGTCCGCGCGTGCATCGACTGCTCGTTAATGACCAGCTCCAAACCACGACTGTCGTTCCATGCGAGCACTGAAGTGGATGTCGTCGAGGCTGAGCCAGCAGAGACCGACGACGCCATGGCCGCGCATGAAGCGTTCTTCAAAGACATCAAACAGCGATGCTCAGTCGTACTGACGGATGTTGAGCCGCACACACGCGTGAGCAAAGCCGACGCCGGGTCGTTGTGGCCACAGCCCCAACCTGGCCAACCAAACCAGTTTCAAAGGATGTCTCCGTTTCAATTGTCTCCGTACGAATTGCCGCCCCCAGTCCACCAGGGCAGCCACAGCGCCAAGACAAGGCGATCATCACTGCACAACCATCGAGATACGAGACGGTATAGCTTCTTCGATGTCGGAAGCACCGACGCTTCCATGCGTCCCGCCACCCGATCCCTCCTCGAGGACGACGACCTTGCCCGCCAGATATACCAAAACCGACAGAGTGTCCTTCAAATTATTTAAATTCTTTCCCATTCAAACCTTTGTGGATTTGATGACGACACCATAAAGGAGACGAAAATTCCACGCAAACAACTCCGAACAATTTACGCAATCAATGCCAATTCAATTCTCGGTGCAGCCAATCAGACGAAATTGTCGAGTTTTCGTGCCAATCAGATCTCTTCAAAGAAATCGCGAGATTTCTCGTCCTTGCCCACCTTCCTTCCACTTTTGGGCTTTCCGTTCCCCGCCAAAGACGTGGTAGGAAGTGCATCGCGTCGCTTCGCCAAAGAAAATGGTCCCGCCGGTGGTGGGTGGCAGTGGATCGGGGTGAGCGGTAGGGGAAGTTGATGTCTCGTCGCCTGCGTCACACGCTGTCCACCACGTGGCTCCTCCATGTGGCGACTAATGCACGGCTCCATGCCCTGGGTTCGCCGAACCAACCCTTGAGATGTATACACCCACCTATGGTGTTACTAGGACCATATGGCATACCAAGCCCGGGCAAACCGGGTGTCGGAGCTGCAGGGAGAGAGGCCGCCCCCGCGTGCAGGGACACCGGGTGGTACGAAGCGATGGATGGTGCATGTGCCTGTCGCTTGGGGTCGAAGCCACGCCGTTACGCGCACCTATCGTTCTTTCAAAGTTTCACTTTGCGTTTGGCCTCGTAGCCACCACAACTGTGGACAGCGAGCAGAAAATGGGTGGCGAGAATGGCTCGCGCCACGTCCGCTTCTTTGAACTCACGACGCCCAACCCCCAAAGCACCAACCACGACGACGGCGACGACGAGTACGACATCGAACGCATCGAGAGGCGCCGCCGGTGGAAGTTGCAAGCCATCCCACTCGTCATCTTCTTTTTCCTCTTCGTGTCGGTGCTCGTGCCGTTCGTGAGCAATAACAAACCGATTGACGGTACGCACTGCACGCAACTCTGCACCCACGTCGACAACTGACGGTCCCTCGTCCTAGCCCTCCGCTTCTTCGACCGTAACAACTTGACAGGGTCCCCTTCCAACCCCAACCTGATCATTTCGCTCTCCGGCATGAACACTGAAACCTACGGTACGATCCATGGAGCTACTCTCTGTACGAGCCGTCCACAAGCGCCAACGGTCGTCCATTTGTGTGCAGAGATGACGGCGACGGCAGTCTTGAACAAAGTCCCGTCGAGCGTCCTGAATGCCCAAGGCACTCGCGTACGTTGTGCCATGGCGCGTCGCCCTCATGTCCGAGTAGATTACCTCCCCGTTTCGCATTCAAGCTGGGACCAACGTCGCCGTATACAACGAAAACACGTCGTATGTCAAGGCTCCGCTGACGTCGAAAGTGCCCCTCCTGACTGGGTCCCTTGCCTGGTACCCGTTTGACAAGTACGATCTCGCGATGCTCTCGCTGGAATTCCCTCATCATCCTCGGCAGGTATCTCATGAAGCTCGACATTCAAGCCGTGACTGGAACGTCCCAGTTCAACGGCGGTAGCAACAGCCCGGTCGACAACTTTGCCTTTGTCGTGTTGTGGCCGGACGACTTTAGTTGGACGTACAAAGTGCGTCCGACCATTGAATCGGATTTTGCCGATGTCGCGGTCGCAGGCGCGGGCGCTCTCTCGGACCCGTCCACGGGCTACACGTAAGTGCTTTCGACCATTTCAACGACGTGTCGAGATCGTGAAACACGTCCGTAGGGCCCTGACGGTGGAAATCACGCGCGACTTCAACATTTACATGGCGCTTGTGTTCGTCGGGATCTGGGCCGTCACGATTGCGATCGGGTACATTGGAAGCCGCGCCGTGATTTGGAAGACTCGCGCCCCGGACAACCCGGTGATCTTTGTGTCAGCGCTGTTTGCAGTCCCAACATTCCGCAACACAACGCCGGGGAAGCCCCCGTACGGATGCCTCTTTGACGTCCTCTGCACGTACTTTAGCATTGGCGTGATCGTTACGTTCTTGGTCCTCGTCGCGTTTGCATATATGCGCAAGCCCAAGACGGACAAACCCAAGAAGAAACCCCGGCGCCGCCAAGATGACGATACGATTCCCGTTGCGACGTTGGATGCTGGCGTGGCCGGCGATGTGACGGCATATGTTGGCGACGTCGGCGATGCTGGAGGTGACGCCGGCAACAGCGATGCAACTGCGTCCGACTCGGCATGAGTGAGCACAAGACTCTGGCAATCATCATGGTCAAGAGGTAGGAGCCGTCGATCAACTGGCCCAGCCTTGGTCATACATCCTGGCCAGCAGCGTATACCCGAAGCCATCGCGCAATTTCAACCAGCCTATAGGCTCCGCGCACGTGTAATATGCAAACACCAGTACTTTCGATCGATTGATTCCCAGGCAGGATGAGTTGTCACCCAGGTAGAAGGACGGGATTTTGCACTGGCGCATCTCTTCAGTCGACGACGTGTTTGGAACGTGGTCGGGGTTACGGGATGCCGTAAAAAGTGGCGCAAGCGCCGCGACATCCGTCCGCTTCTACGCCATTCGACACACTTCCATGGGTGGTTTGAGAGTCGAATTTGCGGTTGCCGACGATGACCGCGTCCTCTGATTCGAACGCGGGCAGCTTTCACTCGCCCACAGCGCTGTTGTCGTCACTCGCTGAGGACAAGGAGCAGCTGGACAAGCGGATGCAACTGCAGCTCTTGACGATTGCTGGTCTCGTTGTGTTTTTCCTTGGCATTGCCATTCCGTTCACGCTCACGCAAGCTGCATCGGGTAGGCCCCCTAGTTTCCACATGGCCCGTCCCCCCTTTCTTCGTAGCACCGCATGGCTCAACGACGTCCCCTCCGGTAGAAAACAAGGTTCATGGCTATCAAGTCCTGTACTCGTCGAAGCCGTATTCCCCCGACAATGAATCCCTCGCCCTCGACATGGTGCTGTCGTCCATCAGTACTGAGACTTACGGTTCGCCCGCCCTGTGCACGATGTCCCCTTGCGTCCAAGTTTACGACGTCCATGTAGAGCTCTCCATCGCTACAACCATCAGCGACATCCCCGCCCGCTTGGCCACCAACGATACACTGGTACTACTTGGTTCGGTGCGTGTAGAACGTCATGTGCACGACATAAAGGTCAAGTCGTTTCGGGTCCAAGTCGGCCCTGGCACGATGGTGATCAGCCCTGCCACGACCAACGTCAACACGCCGATGACGACAAAGATCCCTCTCATCAAGGGCTCGACAGCGTGGTATCCGTTTGACAAGTACTTGACGGCAGTCGATGTCGAGGCATTCACGGGAACAGGCCCATTCATGGGCCAGAAACCGGACGTGATCGACGTCGTGATGGAAATGAAGACCCCCGAAGACTTTAATTGGCGGTACGCACTCTATGCACCGATCGTCCGTCCGACATGGCTCCCCTACGCAGGTACAAAGTTCGCCGAACCACCCCCGACGACTTTGATGTCGACGGCCAGGGCATCCCCACCCCAAAGTTTGCTCGTACACCAGGCAAACTTTACAAACGAGGCCATGTAGGTCCATCACAGTCGAAGTGTCGCGCAAGTTCAATGTGTACGCAGCACTCGTGTTTGTGTGTGTGTGGTCAGTAACGATATCCGTTGGGTACATTGGGAGGTACGAGGGATCACACACCCCATTGCATGCCCCATGGCGTGGATGACTACATAGTTGCGCGGTGATTTGGAAGCACCGACCCCCCGACAGCCCCGCCATTTTTGTGTCCGCTCTCTTTGCCGTGCCCACCGTGCGCAACATGCTCCCCGGTCGTCCCCCCTACGGTGTGCCATGCCCTTTTGTGCGTCCCCCCGTCGCGTTTTGCCAAAACCATGCCGTTAGGGTGCTTGTTCGACATTTTGTGCACATACTTTTCGATTGCCGTCATCTTGGTCTTCCTCGTGTGGGTGTCCATCGCGTACATGAAAAAAGCAGATCCACTGCCCAAGTCGACGGGCACAAGAGCTTCATCGTGCAATGGCCGGTGCAACGGAAACCAGTTGGGGGCGTATCACCTCTGACGCGGCACAAGGACGGCACCTTCCAACGTGCTTTCGTGGCGCCAAACTATTCACGTTAACGAGTGGAAACTATTTTCAACCTGATGTGTCCTCTCTCGAGTGTTCGCCCCCCTTCGACGTCAAGACGCCGAAATAACGTTCGATGTTGCGGGGGAGCTAGGCTAGGGCACGAAAGACTGAACAACAACTCATTGCCACTCTTCATGCGAACTGCGGCGGGGGCGGGGTGGACGAAAGGGATGAAGGGGGTCGTGAAAGGGCGAGAGCCAAATCTTGTGGTCTACTATATACTACTAGTACAGGATGTTTGACGCCATGACTACAGTGCGCGCCACATGGATAGGACACCCCTGTTTTTTTGGTCAAGCTGTCGATAAATTGCCCTTTGGATGAAACAAAATATACCGAAGCAATCGTTTTGATTGGTCCGATCGTTTGGCGCTAGTTTCAGGTCAAAATAGTGAAGTATGACTGAGTTCTGCCGCGAAAACCGATTTGGAGGTGTGACAGCAGGATAGGACACTTGAATCAAGATCGTCATTTTGCTGTTTGCGGTCTACGCCTTGGCCACACTTAAGCCTACCACTGACATACCTATCACTGCCTTCGCTTTGACAGCCATGGGACGTGGATCTTCACTAACCGAGTACGAGCAAGGTGCTGTCCTTGCCTTCCACCGAGCTCAGTGGTCTGTCAAGCGAACTGCAGCGGCGCTAGGCCGCTCACGCAACGCGATAGCGAACTTTTTGCGCTCCCCAAGCACCTACGGCAAGAACTACACTGGCCGTGAGTCGTCAAAGGTCACGGAACGCGACCGTCGGCACATCATCAAGCATGCGTCAGCCACAGGAGCCTCGGCTCGACGCGTCAAGACGGACATTCCGTTGGATTTTTCGCTGCGGACGTACCAAAGGATCCTTGCCGAGTCCGAGCACCTC